GGCACTGTCCTTCATTAGTTCATGTTTATGTCAAATACTTCTTGAGTGCCTCCTGTTTGCACCTCACTGTGTCAGGTCTGAAATGTCTAATGGATACAACAATGAACACATCAGGCAAGATCCCTGCCCCACGGGACTTATCTCTCAAAGTGGTAAAAGGAGACACATGCACTCAATATGTAAAATATAATTTTCAGTAATAATAAGCGCTGTGAAAGAAATAAGGCATTCAAACCAAATACCAGCACTGCAGTCTCCTAATATATACATGAGATAAGCATTTGCACTACGGAATGAGTTTTCAAACACTGCACATTAGAGAACCAGAAAACACGTTATCAAACCTCAGACTATCAGGGTCCCTTATCTTACAAAACCCAATGAAAATTTACAGGTTATAGTAATATTTATGTCATTGAACACAAGTAAGCATCAACCTACAATTACATTTGAAAGGAATCTGTTCATGGTCACTCCCATCCTAGAACCACCTGTCACCTACAATTGCTGACTTTTCTTCATGACCCTCATTACTAGATAGAAATTCTTATTTACTGCTATATTTACCAGAGTATTGTCTATCTCTTCCCACTTGTGTGTCAGCTCCACAACAGCAGAGATTTTGTTTGTTGTTCTTGTCTACCGGGCCCCAGGATCTAGAACAGTGCCTGGCGCATGATGGGTGCTCAATAAATACTGCAGGAATATATTGAATAAGAGAAGGGTAACATCTTGGGTGATTCCAGGAAACCTGTGGGAGGATCTGGTTTCTAGGCAAGTCACACCAAATCTGAATACTTCACTTTCCCACTTACCTCTGTCTAAACAGTATCTGTCCTCTCTCCTGATAATGCTACAGCTGGCTTGAAAGACACGAGATCCTGTCCTAACTCAGCTTTTTCCTGGCTGTGTAGTGTCCTCAGGACTCTGACAATGAACAACTTGTCAGTAAGATCATCCAGTAAATTGGGTTTTCTTTGATATCAATGACTCAGCCTCCCTTGTGTATGTGAGTTGCACCATGGAGTAAATTGTCATTCCTTCAATCACAAAAGTTATATTGGAAATAAATATTTAACTAATGTTTAAACATTCATTTCTATAAACATATAATGACAGTTCTTTAAATAACATATATCAGTAAGTATATTATTCATTATAATTGAATGGATGGGGGAAAATTCCCATTTATATATTGTTTTCAAAACTCAATGAGTACAGATCTCTTTTTTTGTCAGAGAATGTCAATGTTAGCTTTACAACTGTTATATTTTCTTGGTTTGCTATAACAAAATATTAATACCACAGTCAGTGTGGCTTAAATAAGAGATATTTACATCTCAGATTTCTGGAGGCTTGGAACTCCAGATCAAGGTGCAGGCTGATTCGGTTCCAGGTGAGGGCCCTCTTACTGGCTTACAGAAGTGCAGTCTTCTCACTGTGTTTTCATAGGGAAGAGGGAGAGCAAATTTTGGTTTCTCTTCCTCTTCTTATAAGGACACTAATTCTAGGATGGGGGCTCCACCCTCATGACCTCATCTAAACCTAATTATCTCCCGAAAGCCACATCTTCAGATAAGATCACATTGGGGGTTAGGGGCTTCAACTTGTCAATTTTAGGCGGACACAAATGTTAAGTCTCTATCTACTGTGACGTGTGTTCTTTATGTTGTCAAAATAACTAGCACCTTTTATGTAGTTTCAGTGGAATTTCAAAAATAAGCTTATGCTTTTCACTATTTGTATATACACTATCCCCTCAAGTCCCCAAAGCAGTCAGGAAATGAAGTTTTATCAGCATCATTTACAATTAACTGGGGCAATGCTCTTATGAACTGAAACTGCTCTAGGCTGAGGCTACCTCAGCAGAGCACACTCTGCTCTCCCTTGTGAGACCAACATAAATGATTACAGATCTGAGTCCTCAGTTGTGGATGTTTAGATCTCTACTCCTTTACCAACCCCAAGACAACAACACTACACTCCTGTAGCCAGAACATCGGTCCTGATGTCAGCTCACTTGGAAAGATGCTGGAGAGGAACAAAAGTCTATGCTGTCCTGGGTGACTATTACAATGAAGTGGTAAATATAAACCAGTTTTTAAGGAGTTCAAAAAGCAAGAGCACACCAGGAGTAGGAAGGCAGGTGGTTCCAAGGAGGCCCCCTGGAAGCTAGGGTCCATGAAAAGAGGGAGTTAGAACATAATGGGTAGCCTGACTGCAGTGTGAGAAGGTATACAGCAGGATTATGCAAATAAGTAAGTATACCGAAGATGATGGGAGGAAGGGTTCGCCATAGTTGTGAACGAAGCAATATAAACATGGAAAGGTAGAAAGAGAGGAAGATGTTGAATAAATCCTGTTTTTGTGGACTGACACTGGAGGTATGGGTGAAAGTAAACTCATTATATTCCAATGGACATTGAAATAAGCCCTTGAATTCTAAACACTATGTTCTTTACACAAAGGAACAGGGATCCTTATAGATATAGCTTATAATTTTTAATTTCAGGCAAAATAATGAACCACAAGTTAAATATGACAAGTAGGAATTGTTTAAAGTCACAAAACATATCCCTTAGGAAGATGTACAGATTTTTATGCATCTCATAACAGCAGTGAAACAAAAAGGCAACATTTATTAAAGGTACACGTAGTAATAGATGAAACCACAATCATGTTGAGAAACATCAAAATGCCTCTATTATTGAGGCAATCGGAATCATGATAGCAAGAAGGGTAGGCACAATATATTGGGCCCAAATTACGTTCCAGATAGTTTAATGGAACTTCATTTTTAAGACTCATTCCAGACAGCCAGATTTGGCCCAAGGGCAATCATCTTGACCATTCTCTTATTTCCATTTGTTCACTGTATATATCCCTATATGAGCTGAGGGGAATCTGATGTCAACACATCTGCCACTCATTTTCCAGCATGCCAGTTTGAAGCTCTATAGCAGAACATTGGACCCCGAGAAACTTGTGTGTCAGGTCCCTATTTTTTCATGCCATTTCTGTCCTAGCATGAAAACACATTTCTAATGTAGCCCACTACTTCCTGGTCCCTGAGTGCTAGTGCCATGATGTTATCCCTTTAGAGAGAAAGGTGTGATGTCCCCCAATGAAGGTGAGATAATCAAGGACCCTTCATTCTAAATTGGGGCAAAGAGCCTTGAAGCTGACATATTCCTGAGGGAAAATATTCAAAGTACCTCTGCTTGACCTTCCCTACAAATGCAAACATATTCTGGGGTTTGCTATTTAAAAGAATGAAGGAAATTTATTTATCCCCACAACTCCAGCGTCCCAGGTGATTATGTGATTCACTCACTCCAGTGAGGATGTTGGTGAAGCAGCAGCTGAGATTGAATCACCACCTGATGGGGCTTCCCATAGTCCACCGTTACTCTCAAAGAGCATTCTTCCACATCAACCAAACTGGAGGATTAAATGGGGATTCACGGCCCATGCATCTCTCAATGAGGTTCAACAGTGGATTTCTCTGCAGTTCCCACAGGGTGTGGGGCTGCTTTTGAATGGTGACTTTCACAGGGACCAGAAGCTGTCACAGCTCCTGCTTGCCCTTTTCATCATAAGAGCTAAAGCTGCATGGGTCAGGAAGTCACAGGGGATATTAAAGAAGGCCAATTCCATTAGGGTCCAGAATTTCATCCTTTTAATTAAGGCTATAACTCCAGTGTCTAGAACAGTGCCTGGCACATAAAAGGGGATCAGTGGGTACTTGTGGAGTGAACTAATGAGTGAAAGTCTAAACTCTACAGGATAGTCAATCCTCCTATGTTGCTATAAGGAGGGAAACTGGACAACTGGATCACTGGCTGCCTGGGGGCTTCCACTGCACCTGTAAAGCAAACTCTGGACCAAACTCTAGTTATTATGGGAATGGGAGTTATGGTGGAATTATGAATCCCAGGAGTGGGAGTGAGCTCGCAGCCACTTTCCAGTGATGCCCAAAGATCTGAATATATCCCTTCTCCTAGGTCACAGTTACTTGGTTAAATGCTCTGTTAGGGGAAGGCCAGAAGTTTCATGGGTGTATTCTGGGATTTTAGTACCATCCTTCCCAGTGGGTAAGCAGCTTCCCTTTCCTTCGAGGGTTTCTGAGATTGCCCTCTTATTCATTCTGCAGATGGGCTGCACCTCTCCAACAAAGTGGATCAAGGAGGCTTATGTACAGCAGATTGGGAGTGTTTCTGTTTTAAAAAAATCAACTAAAGTCTTAATGGTTTGCTGAACAATTTTACTCCTAGGGAAGAATTGATGAATGAGCCACCGCTAAACATCAGTGGTAGTCTGATCATTCATTTATTGAAGTGAATAACATTTATTCTGCATCTAGTATGTGCTAGCACTATTCTGAGTGCTTGGTGATGCGTTACTGACAAAAACAGAACAAAAGATATTCTGCCATTGTGGAGATCACATTTGAGCAAAAGGAAGAAAGGAAATAGTTAAACAATAAATATAACAAATTGTGCAGGTGACAGAAGATTAAAAAATCTATGGAAAATGAAAACTAAACAGACAGCATAAGGGGGATTCAAAACTGAAGGAAGCAAACAGTAACTTCAAGTCATGCTGGCCCTGCTGCCTTTTTCAGTTAAGTGCTTTGCTTCTGTGGGTCACTTCAGTGCCGTCCCAGGCCTCTGCCATCGCAGAATCCACCCCTGGTAATGGAAAACAAGGAATTTCAATTAATTTGCACTGTTGTTTCAAATAACTCATTTCCTACAGGGACTAGCCAGCTGTGGCTTGCTTTGTAATTGATAGCACACTTCCCTCAGGTGTGTTCACGGTCCAACATGAATTAGCCAGTATCTTAATTGCATTTACAAGATAAATCTTATTTAAATATTGTTTAGACTTACCAGACTAAGTTTATCAATTAAAGCAAGCCCTTCACTGTCCATAGAAGAAAACATGGACAGGGAATAAAAATATCTTGTTATTATGACCTTTGCACTGGGGTGATAGAAACTGCTCTCCAAATGTAGCATGACTGTGTGCTCTCCACCATGACCACAATGACGACATCGTATCTTTGAGGTACGTAATCACAAGGAAGTTTCAGAGAATCCAACGTGAAGAAGATAGTATCATCTATCACCCCGTTTCTTCCATGTAGGCTAGTGATGCAGACCTGTCAGCATAAATGATGGAAATTATTACGAGAAAGCATAATACACTATAACAGACTCTATAAACCTTCACTCTGGCTCTAACCTATAGGTCTCCATCCAAATCAATGATTCCCAAATTGGGTGTCACACTGGCAACACCCAGGGTGCTTTGTAAAAATACTCATGCCCAGATTCCACCGCAGACAATTAAGTCAGACTCTGGAGATGTGGCCTGGGTCTCTGAGGAGAAACCTTGCTCTACATATTACCAAAAAGTGTCCATTACCCTACATTTCACTACATTTCCTACTCAGTTTCAGGTTCCACTACCCAAGTCATACACAGCTTTTACCCGTAAGCTCAAGTTACACAACACACTCTATTCACACTTTCCCCCAAGTTTTCTTGCATACAAATTGTTTTTCTTCCTGTTGTTCTCAGAACATTCTAACACTAAATCAACGACACAATTTAGAACTTGCTTATATGCTTGTTCTACATTGTTTCCTAATTATTTCCTTTTGGAAGGCCTGCCTTTTCAATAGAAATTATGCTTCTTTTTGGCAAAGAATATATTTGTTCATATTTTCTAGATTTCCTAGTACACTCAATACAATCCTAGGCACAAAAACTATCACTAAAGGAACATTTGGCAGAAGCTAATGACAAAGGCTACATGGAAACAAATTACCTCATCCACATGCTTGTAGTTCACGGGTGTCAGTGAGCATGGCTTGATATTTGAGGTGCCTGGCTGATTGGAATATTGAACTTCTAACCAGTCACCCTTGTCAGGCACAAAACCTAAAACAGCTATGAAGAAATTTGAGTGTAATTATCTCTTAACTAGGTCATGCTAAATTTCACAAGTTATTTTGACATTGTAATACCTTCCAATAGTTTCTGGTAAATTTAAGGTACATTTTGAACATGTTTAAACAAACACATTGTAAATCTTTCTATCAGAAAAGAAGTTTAGCAACGTTAGGGGGATGGACACACTTGAAGCTCTTACTGGAGGAGGAAGGGGGGGCATGGGCAATATACGTAACCTTAATATTTGCACTTGTACCCCCATAATACGCTAAAATAAAAATTAAAAAAGAAAAGAAGTTTATAATCCTTTAGGTATTGATTCTCCTCTACTGATTTAATAAAGTCAAATGGGGAAAAGTGTCAACTGTGCAGCACAGCCAATCTAAGGAAGCAGCACAGGATTCGTTAAACAATTGGCCCTATTCACAACTCCTTAGCGAGGCAGCCAAGTACACACGTAAGGGCACAAGTTTGAACTTGGCTGCCTGCATTTAAATCTTGACACTGCCATTTGCTCAGTTTGCAACCTTGGTCAAGGTGTTTAACCTCTGTGACTTGGTTTCTTCATCTATAAAATGAGAAGCACAATAGGAGTTTTCATGATACAGAGTTGCTGTGAGAATTATACGATATGTGTAAAACTCATAGAATAATGACTGGCACATAGTAACCACCACATAAGTGTTGACTCGTATTAGTGATAGCAGTGGCACTAGGAAATATTGCTCCTGTAGGAATAAATGACTTCCCCCAGGTGTTGTGGTCAGCTGATGGACTCTTAAGTAGACACTTTACATTTTACAGTTGTAAACATGGAGTTTCAAACAGAATTAGACAATAAGCAATAAGTGAGTCACAGAGTAACAAAGCTAGAGGAATGGACCTGGAGCAACTGGAAATCTCAAACACTCCAAGTGGGAAGGTAAATTAGCCTAACCACACCAGAAAACTGGCAGTATCAACACAGTGAAACATTTCTATACCCTAGGACCCAGCATTGTAGAATGACACAAGACACAATGCTAGACCTCTTCTCTCTCTGTTAATTTACACGCATTTCTTTGGCATGGGTTTACAGCATATCTATGGACTGATAAATCCCAAATGTATATACCTCTAGCTCTAACCAACCTCAGATTCAAATATCCACATGCCTGCGCCAATTTAACATGTCTAGGCTGAGTTACTGCTATTCTTCTCATTCACCAAACTGTGCTCATTTCAGTCTTCTACATCTGAAATTGGCAACGCCAGCTTTACTATTGCTGCTCAAACCAAAAACGTTGGAGTTACCTTTCCGCAATCTTTCCTTCACACCAAAGCTCCAATCTGTCAGCCACTACCTTCGTCTCTAACTTCAAAATACATCAAAGACCAAATCAATCCTTAGATCCTCCACTTCCAAAACTTTGTTCCAATCTCTATCATCTCTTACCAGGAATATTACAGTGTTCTCCTAACTGAGTTGCTGACGCCACCCTTGCCCCACATAGTATTTTCTCAACAAAGCAGAGAGAGTGAACATCCTAAAACAAAATTCAGTTTCGAGACTGGTTTTACACTCAAGAAAATAAAAAAGCGAGCTACCTAGAAGAGCTGACATAATCACCCCTTTTATACCCAAGCAACATAACAGCTGCAATGGACCAAAATACTAAAAGCAAAGTTTATCTTTGGGTCTAAACTACATATTAGAATATCTGCTGATTACAAATAGAATTCAACAACAGATACACATACACACACACACACACACACAGATACAGAGAAAGGTATAAGGCAAGCTGCCATCCTAATTTTGTGGTTTATTTTTTAAAAACACTTTCCCTGTATACTCTAGGATTTTTTCATTGATTAGAAATTAAATACTTACATGCATGAAATTACATTCAGACGTTACTGAATACATTCAACAGATGAACTCTCAGTAAATGATAGTAGACATTTTTATAAATATTACTTGTCTGTCCCTATATTGTATAATACATCATTTCCAATTCCAAAGTTCCAACTTTGGAATATCAATAATATTGAAGAGCCACTGACTGAAGCCAAGTACGTTGTATTATGGAAGCCGTTTTAGTAATAAAATGCTCTCAAAAATTAAGAATTACATTTTTCTAAGAAGATAAATCATACCTTCAGAACAAAGTCCACAGAGAAGTAAATGTTTTTATTAATGTAAACAGTATCTTTCCTTACAGAAGTAACACAACCAAATAAAACTTCGGTTCCAGGGTCTGATGGCCCAGGGTCATCAAAGTGATAAGGCATAATACCATCCACCTGTAAGATAAGGAAACAGTGGAGCCAGAGCAGCGAATGTAGCAAGAGCAGAATCTCCCAATGTGACAGCGGCCTGGGGTGGAGGCGGTGGCAGGGGAGGCAGGGCAGGGAGCAGCGCGGGGCGGGGTAGGGGGGAGGGGAGCAGCCACAGCCAGAGGGCGTGCCAACGCTGCCGCCCGCGCGCCAGAGCGCAGAGGAGCTGCTGCCTCCACCGCGGCCAAGGGAGCGCTGTCAGGGCGGGCGGGCCTGAGCTGGGGGGAGCAGGGAGAGTGCGCCACCGCCTTCCCTTCCCCCCTCGATGGGAGTGGGGACGTCCCGGCTCCCACAGCCGCCAGAGGAGGGAGAGCCGGGGCCGTCACTTCAGAGTTGGGGCTGAGCAGTCCCCGGGGAGAGGGCGCCAAGACAGCTGCCGCCCTGGGCCGACAGGAGGAAAGTTTTGCTTGGAAGTGGCTTAGGGAAACTTGGCACCGAGGTGCAGGGAAGCGAGAGACTCTTTGTGCCTCTAAGGCCGAATGAGGAATTTGCAAACACCTGTGGGACATACAAGCCTTGGATGCAGAGGTTAAACCCATTCACAGTAATGGCTGCGGCCTTGCCCAGGACCCTGGGGGAGTTTCAGCTGTATAGAATATTACAAAAAGCCAGTCTACGTTCTTATTTTGATGCCTTTATCCAACAAGGTGGTGATGATGTCCAGCAACTCTGTGAAGCTGGGGAAGAGGAATTTTTGGAAATCACGGCACTCGTAGGCATGGCTAGCAAGCCCCTTCATGTTAGAAGGCTACAAAAGGCTTTAGGAGACTGGGTTACAAACCCTGTCCTTTTCAATCAGCTGCTGACTTCCCTTCCTGTCAGTAGCATACCCATCTATAAATTACCAGAGGGATCACCAACATGGCTGGGAATATCCCGCAGTAGTTATGAAAGGAATAGTAACGCCCGGGAACCTCATTTAAAAATCCCCAAATGTGCTGCCACCACCTGTGTGCAGAGCTTGGGACAGGGGAAGTCAGATGTGCTGCGGAGCTTGGTGCTGCTGAGCGAGCGTTGGGGAGTCCAGACTCTGGCAAGGCCCCCATGCCCCCATGCCACTGAGGGGAGCACAGCCTCTCCCCTGCAGACCTGGGCTCCCCAGCCTCCCCAAAGGAAAGCGGCGGCGGGGCGCTGGATGCTGCCGCTGCGCTCTCTGTGGCCCAGTGTGTGGAACGAATGGCCCCCACACTACCCAAAAGTGACTTGAGCGAAGTGAAAGAGCTGCTAAAAACCAACAAGAAGTTGGCCAAAATGTTTAGTCACATCTTTGAGATGAGTGATGTTGATCCACACAAAGAAGAGGAAATTCGGAAATACAGTGCAACATATGGCAGATTTGACTCCAAGAAAAAGGATGGGAAACATCTCATGCTTCATGAGCTCACTGTCAAGGAAGCAGCTGCTCGACTCTGTGTGAAGAATAATGCTCTGCTGACAAGAAGACATGAACTTTTTGCTCTGGCTAGGCAAATTTCTCGAGAAGTCACCCATAAATATACTTATAGAACCACCAAGTCAAAGTGTGGAGAAAGAGAGGAATGATCCCCAAAGAGAATTAAAGTGGAGGATGGGTTTCCAGATTTCCAGGACTCCGTGCAAACGCTCTTCCAGCAGGCTAGAGCTAAGAGTGAAGAACTCGCAGCTCTTACTTCACAGCAGCCTGAAAAGGTGACGGCAAAGCAGATGGAGTTCCTCTGCACCCAAGCTGGCTATGAGAGACTGCAGCATGCTGAGAGAAGACTGCCTGCAGGACTTTATAGGCAGAGCTAGAAGAGCACAGTCCTAATGGCTTGACTTCCAATAACTCAGATGGACAAGGAGAAAGACCTCTGAATCTCCGAATTCCTAATTTACAGAACAGACAACCCCATCATTTTGTGGTAGATGGGGAGCTGAGCAGACTACTCCAGTGAGACAAAGTCCCGCTCATCAGAGAGCCTTGGGATTTTAAAAGAATACCCTCACTCAGCTTTTACCTTAGAAAAGAAAGTCATCAAAACAGAGCCTGAAGATTCAAGATAGCTGTGATTCTCTCACTGTTCTCTGGAAATGGCATCAGATTTAAGGATAATACTCCATCATAGAAAGAAGCCTTAATAACCAGTGTTGCCTCATTCAGCTCAAACACATTTCACAGCCAAAGCATAAGGACTGATGTAGTAGTCTGTGGAAACCAGGAAGACAAAACAACAGCCACAAAAGAAAATCCAGAGTGTGGCAATCTGTAACAGAAATATTGATCCGTTCACATTCCTGTGTAAATTGTTTATGTGAAAGGCTTACAAATTAATATTGTAAGCATTCATTATTTAAGAATGTACAATGTATTTGTGTAATTTATAGAAGTAAAATCTAGATGTTGAGACCTGTTTGATCCAGTAGACATGGATACAGTTTATTTTACTTGAAATTTTGTCTACTTTGTGTATTTAGCATAAATATTATACGTCAGAGTTTAGAATCTTTGCAACTATGAAAAAAGGAAGCTTAAGTGATGTAGTTATTGGCAAGGTTGCAATGACTATGGAAAAATGGAAAGCAAATACTCAATTTAAACCAAGGAAAATACTGTGGATTTAATATTTGATAAAACTGATTTTTGTTTAACAGGAAATGTGTAGCATTTAATTGTGTAATATCTGGTTATTAGCGCACATTTACACAATTTATAAATACTG